CTCCTCCGCTCTCCTTGCAGATGTCGGGGGTGCTGCTGATCGCTGCCTGGTGCTTCCTGCAAGTGGAGAGCCGGCATCCTGAAATCATCACGAGTAGCAGCAATCATGGCAATTTCCTGGACAACGACAAATGGCTGAGCACCGTCTCGCAGTACGATAAGGACAAGTACTGGAACAAATTCAGGGATGTAAGTACTTTGCCGCATGCTTCTCGGTCGTTCCGTTGCATCCTTCCTGCCGGCTTTGGGGAGCTGTGGGTTGAAGAGAGACGCAGCTTTGGGCAACCGGTTGCTGCTTGTTGGGAAGGATGTTCAGAGCTGTTTGGGAAGCTGGACAGGCAGTCCTGGCATCCTCAATCACCCCATCGACTGGGGCAGCTTAGGCTCTGTGTCAGTCTTGCAGTGAGCTTATGGTCTTCGATTTTCCTCTGGGGAGGAACTTTGAGTGAAGTTTCTGTGCTTGATGCTTAAAGGCTGGTTAACTGGAAAAGGATGGAATAGTGTGTGTGTAAGAAGGGAATACTTACCAGTTCAAGCCACAAGGTGGTAAACAGTGAAGCTTTTTTTTTTGCCTGCGGTTTTTACTGCCAGTTCTGCTTGTGGAGATCTTTGAGGCTGGTATAGGGATGGAGGAAGCAATGCTTTGGCTTGGGGTTGGTTTTTTTTTTCGGTCTGGAAAATGGGGGTAACTTCAAGATGTGTTATGACATTAAAATTTAATCTTGACTTCCTCTTGTTTAAATATAGTCATGTGTATTATGGCAGTGATGGCAGAAAGGGAAATGTATTGTTTATGGTAAAGGTAATGTTTAGGAGCTCAGTGTGACTCTAGGAAAGGGAAGAGTAGAGCTGGCTGGCAATTCTGATGTTTGTTTAGAAATACCTGGCCTTTAACAAGTCAAACTTCGATGCTCTGCTTCTGTCTCTGTGATCTTCACACTGTATCTGACTTTTCGAGGAGGAAGTAAAAGTATTAGAGTTAAATGTGATGGGTCTCTGCCTTGCTTATGCTTTCTATTTGCTGCTATAGTTTTGGTCACCTCTGTGCCTTAGAAATGCTGCTCTGAATCTTAGAATAACAAAGTATGGCCTTAACAATGGTATCAACAGCTCTCTCAGGGTTGTGTTTGTGTGAAGTCCCTGTGATGAGGCATCCACCCACTAGAACCATGGAGTTGTCCTGGAATAGGTGTCTGGAAAAGGGGATTCTGCAGTTAATATGTATTCCTGGATTTTTACCATAGTCCAAGGGAGTCTTTGCTGTTATCTGGTTTAGTCTCCTGGGGAGCACAGGTTAAGGATTTCACTTGGTAATTCCTGAATCCAACTTGATGTGAGAATTGGGCACTATTTGAAAGTGGTAAATGGAATGAAGGACTGAAAAATTAGAGACAGATCCATAGCAAGGGACATCTTTCAACAGTCTCCTTCCAAATTGAGGCCTTGTATTAATCCCACAGCCTAAAATTTTTAATTATTTTTATGATTTTTTTATGTTTTCTGATTCCCTCTTTATGTAACTTTTACATTTTCCTGCTTCCCTCTTCCTTTTTTTTTTTCTTTAAAACCTGGAGCCCTTGCAACTTCTCATCCTCTTTCCCCCACTCCACAAGTGGAATTGTCATAGAAATTATTCCTCTTTCTCTGGAAGATGTTCACAAAGAATATCTCATGTTTTAAGATGTCACAACTGAGAATGTTTTTTTTTAGACTTTCTGAAAATGTTAAAACCCCCCATAAAGCCTCAAAACTTTCTTTTATAGGAAGAATCATTTTATGGAAAAGAAAAACCAAGCTTAACCAGTGACCTACCAAGAAAAGGAAACAGTATAAAGTTCATGCAAAGTTTAGCTATCTTTCTATCCAGCTGCCTCAATGGTTTTATTTAATTACTTCAAAACTAGAATGTCACAACTGCATATGATTATTCCTGAAACCTTTTACGGGGCAAATTAACAGAGACTACTAATCACCTAATGATTTACTGGATGATAACCTTGTGTGAGAGGTTCTGTGTCCATGGGTAGAGTTGCTGCCAACAGAGCAGGTATGGCAGAGACTGCACTTCTTGCATGGAGAGAGGTTGTTAGAAGAAATCTGCTCCTTGGTGGAGAAGTGTTTAATTTAAAATCTTTTTGGGTCTGACTCTACAGTTCTACAGGGCAGAAGCCCTACTTGGTACCTCGTAAAGCAGGTTACAGCAATTACCATAATTACTTTCAGTTGCTTTCTGAATGTTCTCATGTTATATAAATATATTCCCGCAAATATTTACATAACTGTGCCCTTCTGCACAGTGGGAGAAACGCTGTGAGAAGATGTGGGGCTAATTTTTGGTGGGTTTGGGTGTGGCCCCTTTAAACTCTCTGCATCAGCCCAAACATCTGCACAAGCAGATGGGCACATAAATCTGTCATAATGTTGCAGTACTGGGTAGGGGTTTTTTTTTACAGGTGATATATAATGGAATATAAAATTTTAAATTGAATTTCTCTCAACTTTTTCAGTTATTCTTTTTAAAATCAATTGGTAGGTCAGCCTTATTGAGCTATGGGCCAATATGGCCTGATTTGAGAGGACAGCTCTTGATTGATTTTTTTTTGCTATGACCCATATTTCTTTTGGGCAAAGACAGCGCGGTAGTTGCACTTACTGGCCCAGAAGTCATTACTGCTCTGTGAAAAGAGAGCACAGAACTCCCCCCTCAGCCTTCATTACAGCCACAGAACCAGGCTAAATTTCTAGATCTGACTGAATTTAATAGTGTGAAATGATGACCTGTCATCATTTTCCAAAGGCCTCAAGGGATCTGTTTAAAACAATACTTTACAGTCTTTTCACATGATTTGAACACAAGTTGCTGATTTTTTTCAAGTCCTGCATTTTTAAAAACAAGCAGAGCTCATAATAAATAGTGAGACCCGCGTGACTGATCTGTTGTGAAACACTTGCTGTTGAAAATCTTGTATATTGTACATCTGCCCAGCATCACTAATGGTGTAATGTCTGTTGTATTAATAAGCTTTCAGTGCAATCTGAACCTGATATTCCTGTCTGTCTTCCATCCCTTTTTTGTTTGTCTGCCATGGACTTTCTATGTGGCAAATGACAGAGTCTCAAGTTCCATTTTACAGCTGGGGATAATAGTATTTGTCTTCCTCCCAGCTGGGTGTTGAAGCTGTAAATAAGAAAGGACAGAGCTCAGAACCTGTGGCAATATGAAATTTCTTCTACACCTCATCCAGATGTTGAATGTGACTTGATACATATTTAAGTGACTGACTAGTAAGTTTCTAAAAGTAAAAACAGAATCAGTGGAATTGTTACCAGAAAAAGAAAAAAAATAAATAAATAAGCTGAGTGCAGTCTCTAGGGAGGATCTGCAGCTATTTCCCTTGTGCAGATCTGAGGTTTGGAAATACAGCCAGGAGAGATATGAGAGTCAAATTAGCCCTTTTGATATTAGGAACCTACATAGGAAGGCCTCAGTGTTTGGATCAAATCTGTTGAGAGGGATCCTTTGGCTTGAGAGGAGCCAAAGGAGTAAAACCTTCAGAGCGGACTCGACAGCTGAATGTGGAGTGAATTTTTGTAAGTCTTAGAAACATTTATTTTTATGTAAATAGCCACACATGTTATTGTAACCCTGCAGCATCTCGTGCTCATAAAGCCTTGGCACAGAAGGCATGGAATAAGTGTCTTTTTAGTGTTAGATCTGTCTTTAATCAAAATTATATGAACAGACTAATTCTGTTACTTCTGCTTGGACTTATGTCTATTACATTATTAATGCTTATATATAAAAAGGTAATAAATTCAATAGCCACAGATTAAACTGCAGAAAGGAAGAAAAAAGTTAAATGAACTGAGAGGATCCAGTACAAACCATACAAGGAATTTCCATGAAGTTGAAAGCTTGGCATGAACTGTGGTTTCAGTGCCTGTTTATGCATGGCAGGCTGCCAGCCCACGTTCTGAGCATTAACTAAGCTGTTTCTCAAAATTTTATTGCTTGCAGAGTTTCAGTTCAGGCTATCATGTTAAAACCCCCTGCTTTTTATGCCTGGAGATGCTTTGAGGCTGTGCATGCCTAAGAAGCAAGGCACGAAATGTCAGCATCTGTGTGTAAACGTTGCTCAGACTTGCTGGATAAATAGTTATGTATATTATACGTGTATATATAACTGTTCATGCTGCTGATGGTTATAAGTAGGTTAGATATCAGATTCCCCAGATTGGTCAGAGACCACCATCCCCTACAATTTTGTTAGTTATTACTATACATCACCTTCCTGAGCCTGCAAATTCCTCCTCACACCTGATGAGAGGTGACAAAGCAAATGCAGGATTAGGAACCAGGGGGGGATTTGTTTTGTTCCAGCTTTGCCACTGATGAGTTTTTTGTCCTTTGGGTTGGCTCTTCACACTTCTTCACTGCCTTCCCCCTTGTTGGCACTTACTTTTCTCTGATTTGTTTAGCCCCAAATTAGAAGTGTGGTGGTGAAACTCGATAGCAGGGAGTTGGAAAACACGACCGGTGCTGAGGAGGGCTGGAATACCAAGCAGGCAGAATTGGAAGACCTTGGGAACTCGAGTAATAGAAATGAAATGAAATTTAAAAGTACAAAGTGGAAGGTCACGGGATTGAGAGCTAACACAAATTTATTCTGGGGCCTGGCAGCTCAGCTTGAAATAGATGAGAGGGAAAAACCTGTGTACTTTCATTGATTTGCAGAGTTATTCTAAGTTACAAAAGTAATGCCACTCTGAGGAGAGCAAATATGTTCTAGGAATGCAGAAAATGAAAGATTTCTGGTTCTGTTGAAGAAGTACAAATGTACAACGTGTAGGAGTGAATACTTAATTATGTATATTGTGAGCACTTCTGATCAGTTAAAGTCGAGACAGACAAATTTTTGTGGAGCTGGGGATCCAAAAGCCTTTCAGCATCACAGGAAAAAAGAGCCTGTTTTAAAACAGTGTTGTCTATTAGTTTACCCCACACAAAGATAATTGTGTAAGAGTAGATCTGCTTCAGAGTATTTATGGAAAAAAGGATGGCAAAAACTGAACTGAGTGGAGTTGAGATAAACTAAGTAGATAATTGGTGACAAAAATAACTTTATTGCTGACTTTAGGGATAAGATTATTACTCCACCCACAGGTGTGTTTTAAAAGTTAATGAGTAT